TAACACTTTGTGATAACTTTTCGTACGTTTTAAATTGTACACATTTGAATGTAAACAAAAATTATATCAGCTGTTCGTCTAACTTGCAAGTTTCTGCAAATTTTCTGTTCGCGTACTATTTTGGATATTTCTCTCTTGTGAGCGAACAGATGACATTTCGCCGGAATTTGGCAGTTGGTTGGTTTCTGCTGGAGATTTTAAACGAACGCACTTTATATCAGCGAAAGCTTACGAACAAATATACATATGTGCGTATAATTGTAAGAGCGAAGCATAGCGGGAGTATATTCAAGTAAACAATATGAGAATAGCGGGTGAGCATATGTACATAGGTGTGTATAAGAAAATGCAAACACAAATTTTAACTGCATTGGGGTGAATAACATACGCATTCCTGACCTTGGCTATATTTTAGGTATATAATAAAATAGATGACAAAGACATAACTACCATATGATTGACGAATGCAATGGTTCCCCATCGGTGACCCAATATCCGGGCTCCGTTGAAATGCATTTCAAACTGGCAAAACTGCTAGCTTGTGGATGGGGCGCCGAATGATTCCCTTCGATGTGCGAACATCAACCACACGAATTTTCGAATCCTTTCCTGGTATGCAATTTACAATTCTTCCCATAAGCCATTTCTGCGGTGGTAAGTTGTCTTCATGTATGATGACCATTGTGTTGTTTTCGATGTTTGGCCGATCTGCAAACCATTTTGAGCGTATTTGTAGCTCGATGATGTATTCATGTGACCATTGCTTCCAAAAGTTTTGTTTGATTGTAGCCATTTGTGCCCACTGTTGCGCATTGCTTATGTGGGATGACACGTTTCGCTCCGGAAGTGCTTTTAGTGCGTCGCCAATAATGAAGTGACCTGGAGTCAATGCTTCGTAGTCGTTCGGATCGGAAGACAATGGTGTTATTGGCCGCGAGTTCATTACCGCTTCGATTTCTACCAAGGCTGTTGTGAGTTCCTCGTAAGTAAGCCGTGAGTTTGCCATGCTGCGATTAAGATGGCCCTTTGCTGATTTCACGGCCGCTTCCCAGATCCCGCCNATAAGCAAGCCGTGAGTTTGCCATGTTGCGATTAAGACGGCCGCTTCCCAGAGCCCGCCAAAATGAGGTGCTCTAGGGGGAATGAAATTAAAATTCACAAATTCGTTAGCACAATACGAAATAATTGAGTCTTGATTTACTTTTTCAAATAAAAATGATTTTAGTTTCAGAAGTTTATTGCAAGCGCCAACAAAATTTGTCGCATTGTCGCAAAATATATCAGATGGCAAGCCTCTCCTTCCGCTCATCCGCTTCAAAGATGCCATAAACGCTTCTGTAGAATGATTCGAAACGATTTCTATGTGCACTGCCTTGGTAGCTAAACAAACGAAAATTGTGATGTAGGCCTTGTAGGGTATCTCGCCTCTAATTCGCAGGTAAACGTCAACAGGTCCACGGAAATCAATGCCGCAGCGGACGAACGGGCGTGACGGAGTCAATCGCTCAACTGGTAGGTGCTCCATCAGTTTTGGCTTGTAGCGTACACAATGTATGCATGATCTGACCACTCGCCTTGCCACTTCACGCGCGTTGATAATCCAGAATTTGAGCCTTATCAAAGCTACGAGGGCCTTTGGTCCAGCATGATAATGACTGCGGTGAAGATGTCGCACATAGTTGATGATGAATTCGCATTTGCTTGGCAATAGTAGTGGGTGTTTCCTCTCTTCTGGATTGTCCGCCTGAGTTAAACGCCCACCAACGCTCAGTAATTGAAATCCTCTGACCGACTCAAGAAAAGAGTTCAAATAACGCAATTGTCCATTTGTGGTAAGATTTTTCTGCAAAAGATGAATATCATTAGCGAAATGTTCTTGTTGTATTTTACAAATTATGCAAAGCAGGGCATGATGCAATTCTTGTGAGGAAAGAGGTCCTCACTCATTGGACTTAACAACAGGTCGTAGATTATTAGCGAATCGAAACATCCAGCCGATTAATCGAATGCTGCTAGTGTACGAGCTCTTTTTATTGACGACTTCAAGAATGTGGTTGGTTTTTATAGTTGTGGTGAATGCTGACTTTCGTCTCTCGGCTTCTACGGTTTCCATATCAACGCCTTTGTTTTCGTTTTTAGGCCAAACCTCCANTGTTGTGGTGAATCCTGACTTCGCCTCTCGGCTTCTATGGTTTCCATCATGATAAAAACATAGCAAGGTATAACCGTTCTCTCAATTTGTCGGCCATGATTTTTTTTTGAAGTTTGCCAACATTTCAAAATCATATAAAAGTGAAAATAAAAAATTGAAATTGTTCGAAATTGTTGTTGCTTGAGATTGAAAATGAAAATGTGTGTGTGAGTTTGTGAGTAAATTTAAAAATTAAATTGTTTGGAAACGTCAAGAATCTTAAAAGGGACTCTCAGCGGTTCTACCTTACTATATTTTTATCATGGTTTCCATATCAATGCCCTTGTTTTCGTTTTTAGGCCAAACATCCATGGGTTTGTATAAAAATGTAGGTACAGTGTACCAAATTGAGCTGCCGAGCTCTGCCACCGTACATCCTCTGGAAACTATGTCTGCAGGATTACTGTGTGTTGGCACATACCTCCTGTATTTCTGAAACCCGATTTCCAAGGAACGTCGAAAGCGTTATTGAGTGCATCTTCAGCTAATGTAAGACCACTTGTGAATCTGTCCAGAGAAAAACGTTCAAAGATTTATTGTAAAAAATTGATTTGATTTTTGAAAAAAGACGAGCTAAAAGGAGAGCGCCGCAAAGTTCTAGCTTTGGAAACGACCGTTTTTTGATGGGGGCGACTCTGGATTTTGCGATGAGACAGCGAACGATAACACTTCCGGACTTGGTAACTATTCTTGCATAGATGACGCATTCATATGCTAGAATGGACGCATCACAGAAGCCAAGCAGCTGAAGGTCTTGGGTGTCTGTTGAAAGACAATACCTTTGCACCTTAAGTGATGATAGGTCCAATACGCTGTTAAGAAAGCTTGTCCATACGGAATGAATGTTGTGAGGCACGAATTCGTCCAAATCCAACCTAAGCAGCCATAACTCCTGCAATAAAATTTTTGACGTAATGGTAACAGGCGTCAACAAATCAAGAGGGTCGAATAATGTCACTCCCACGACAGCCGGTTCTACGTACCGGAATGACTCGTGTTTTACCCGACCAAGGGCTGTTATTTCGGCGATCTAACCCCGTTTAGGTCGGCGAAGTATCTCATAAGTTGTTCGTCCATAGGGCTACATTCGCTACGTTTTTTTCTTCTCAGGGCTGGCATCGAGTCAAACCCAGGGCCAGAAACCTACACCTGCTGTGTATGCCAGAGACGACTACGCCACAACTCCACCTCAGTCAAGTGCAATGCTTGCGAGGGGTGGAGTCACCTCAGAGTCTGCTCAGGACTACGGACACAGCCTCCACGGCTAACCCCAGTCCACCTGAGCAGTCCCACACAAACACCACACCACAACAACATAACACAATAGACCACACCACAACCGAGACAGACCACAGAACACACACAACCGCACCACCACCCACACGCCGCCGCCAACAACTCTTTGCACGGTATGTCAGACCAGGATATTCCGTAATATGACATCTGTCAAGTGCAACACCTGCCTTGGCTGGTGCCACTTTAGGGCATGTTCAGGTCTGCGCAAGAGACGAAGTTGCACAGCAATTCAACATTGTTGAATTGTGCCGGGTAAAACGTACACCGTCGAGATCGCGAACGAGATAATGGTGGTGGCTTAGCGTTCATCACGCCCACACCGTGCAGTATCGTCTTATCGAAGTAGACATCCACCGCAGGGATACCACCCTAGAATGTCAGGGCATTGCTATCCGGTAAGGCGATGTTGAGCTCGAAATATTCAACGTATATATACCCCCTGTCACCTGCTGCCCGGCAGGATATCACCCTGACATAGGTGCGCTCCTCAGCGGTGAAAACCGAATGGTAGTAGGTGACTTTAATGCGCACCACGATCTTTGGCACTCAAGCCTGTCAAACGATCGTAGGGGAACAGATTTGGCTGAGCAGATAGACGATTCGATATTCTACATAATGAACGACGATGCACCCACCAGGATTATGGGCAGCTGCTGCAGCTCGCCAGACATAACAATAGTCAGCGCTGGTCTGATAAACAGCATATCTTGGCGACCAACTGCAGTGAGAACCTTCGATGTGCGATTAACTGAACATAAACTAATGTGCCGGATGCGGTAGGAACGGCAGACCAAGCCGTGCACATAATTGAACGTTGGATGGCGATGAATAGCTGATGCAGATGGATATAATGCTGGTGCCAGTAAGATTACGGCGCACCCGCTAATTTGAGGTTATGTTCGCGTGCAATTATGTAGCAATGCTCAGTTATCGGGGTCACCAATATGTGGATGTAGTGCCACTTACGAATACGCTTTATTTATTATAAATAAATCTCGTACAATATTTTCTTATTATCAAAAAATAAGTTATAAAATTTACATATATGGATGTATAGATACCAATGAACACGCGATCGTTTTGGATGATTTCCAGAAGTGAAAAAGAAAGAAGACAAAAAAGAGCAACGCTAAACGAATAAGACAGAGTTGCATTTTTGTCTTGCTGGATTTGGTGTTGCCACAATTTGTAGTCCGGCAAGAAGAATAAAAAAACGACACGAAGTTTTGTTCTTGTGCTGGTGCGCTTTAGCACACAGTGGTGTGGGATGTAAGAGTGCGGTTCACCCAAATTCGGATTTTCCATGAAGCTCATGTGTCCCAAACGCTCGTATTCATCCATGAAATACACACTATTTTCTCAAGTGTGATAATTTTGCTAAACTACGTTCTTGTGCGTTTAATCATCTCAGTGCGGTGGTGTACAAGTCGCCTAAGCAGGAGGGATCATCCTTGAATAGCAATTTCACTACTATTCTTCCAGCTGGATTCCTTGAAACAGTGGTTCTGTACGTCTACTCGCAAATCGTTCCTTCGCGAGTCCAAGGCTCGGCATTGACAGCTACTTCCTCAATTCTCCATAGCTTCTCCAGCTTGGCATCCAACGAGTCAGTGCTGTAAATAAACATGAACATTGAGAAAAGTTGTTGCTTGATTAGAACCGACCCGATATAACCCACCCTAATAAAGTTTTTTGCAATATTGGTAAATTTGTTCCAAGTCTCATCCGGCCAACTGCCAGCAGACTAAAGAATGTTTCCATACCTAACAGCAAATCGATTTTTCTGGGTACGTAAAATTCGTCATCGGCGAGGGTAATATTATTTGGAATATTCCAAGAAGTGCCTAAACTAAACCGTAGTTTCAGTCGTACATTTTTCACCTTACAATCACCATTACAAATATCACGCGTAATGTTGCATTAATTAAGGTAATTAATTTCTGTTTATTATCGTAACTATTATTACTTGTATTTCTTTTGTTTTTCTATTTTTCCTCTTATTTTTAATTTTCTTTTCTACTCATTATTTAAACGTATGATTCATAACATGATACAAAAAAAAGGTAGTTTCAATAAACAACTTTTTGATTAAAAAGGAGATTTTTGACAATTGCTCAATTGTAAAAAATTCGAAGCGGCGTTAACCAATTTAATTTTTTTTTGATATAAGGGATTTTATATCCTAAATTTGGGAGTATAAATAAAATAGTTGTATTAACCTTTACCTTTTAAAAATAATTAATATATTTTCTTAAACCCCTTTACATTTTACAGTAAATTCGATAACTACTTGTCAAAATCTTTATTTTCGCATTAATAAAATTTTATTAAACATATTTTAAAATTTTTTAGTGTCATTTGTCATCTGATTATTTCGCAATGTACTAGCTAGCCACGACTATTACAGTTTTCTATATCGGATACGTTTATTTCTGATATATTTCAGACACTGAAATTACACATTTCGATATTGTCTTTGTTCATGTCTTTCAAGTAACTTGAAAACGGAATTTACTTTGGGACCCATGGGCATCATGACTTTCAGACAAGTGAGTATTATCTAATTCTAGTATATTTCGACAATATTATTTGTTCTGTGGGTAAAAACAAAGATATTTTACTGTTCAATATTGGAGGGGGTGTGAACTAAATTGATGATTTATTGTTAGTGTGGAAACTAGAAACACAATTATCAACTTATTGAGCATTAGACCCCATCTCTTTCAAAAACAAAAGGGGAAATGTTCGGCTATTTGTTCAATGGTTTTGTGGTATCAAGCGGAGACGGACCCATTAAAAAATTGGGTAAAATTAGAATTTTGACAGGGAAAATGTAAGTCCAACTCCGGCTACGCTGACCACAGTATTTCTTTTAAAAAAGTTCATACTTGAAACCGAATTTATTCGTAAATTTTTATCTGAAAGTTAGAAATCTTTATTTTAAACTAACGTGTAATTGTTTGACCACATGTGTGTGTGAAAATTTTTTGCTTTGGGTTAAGCATTTGGACACATTAACCCAAAACTATTGTACAAGTAACCGAGCCGTACCCAACAATATACCTTTTGCTTGTTCAAATTTCGATTCTAAGAAAAAAATGTTTGTAAATAACCAAAGAATTAATAATAAAATTTGAAGGGTTTTAGATATTGGGTCTGGTAGCATGAAATGTCACAATCTACTTAATTGTCAGGTTGTTAATATGGCGACCAAAAAGTGACAATGGAACTACCTTCTTTTTTGTATCATGATTCATAATATGTAATTGTAAACCTAATGCTACTCATAAATTTTATAACTTTTGTATTAGGATCACCATATGAAATAAATCAAATCAAATCAAATCAAAAAATATCGCTTTCGCGTAATGCAGAACGTTCGCGGAAGTTCGAATTCGCATTGCTGCGATTTTATATTAGTTGGAATTTTGTATCTAATGTTTGTTGACAACTTACTGATGGATTTCAATGGTTTGTTTACTTTTCGGTAACGACAGTCTTTGTGCGAATTCCTCAGTAATAAAATTCACCTGAGAACAGGAATCTAGCAGGGCTTTGCCTAGTCTGTAATCACCTGACGAATCACGAACTAAAATCATGGCAGTTGCTAGAATAACATTGTCAGACGACGAATTGTGCATGTGTGTGTGCACTGCGGCTTCGCGTGATGGTGGAGGATTTGTTGTCTGTTGGGCTGATGTGGACCCGCGGTGGAGTAAGCTGTGGTGCTGCTTTGAGCAAACCTTACATCTGTGGGTTGATGGGCATTGAGCCATTTGATGTCCTTTAGACAGGCAATTGATGCAAAGTCCCATTTTCTTCGCTTGGTCGAATCGCTGGGTGATGTTGTAAGACTTAAAACGATCGCAATTAGAAATTTTATGGTTTGTGCTTGAGCAAACAGAGCACGGCGTATTGGAGCAGGTAAATGAATATCCCTTTGGCTGATTCCTTACCTTACTTAATGCAGCTTTGCTGTTACCTGGAATAACTGCTGATCCTGTGTGGCTAGCTTCCATCGACTCCAAATATTGGCAATGCCTTTCCAGCACCTTCACACAGTCGCCCCACGTCGGCAGCGTCTTAAAATCCAAAGATTCTTTCCACTTTTTATTGGTTTGTTCATCCGATTTCTGAAGCACCAAATAAATGAGCATGGCTTGGGAAA